GACTATTTGGAATTGTTTCAGAAGGAGTGGTACCAGCTCCTCTTTGTATGTCTGGTAGAATTCGGCGATAAACCCATCTGGACCTGGGCTTTTTTTGGTTGGTAGGCTATTAATTGCTGCCCCAACTTCAGCCCTTGTTATTGGTCTATTCAGGGTTTTGACTTCCTGATTTAGGCTTGGGAGGGTGTAAGTGTCCAGGTATTTATCTGTTTCTTCCAGGTTTACTGGTTTATGTACATAGAGTTATTTGTAGTAATCTCCGATGATGGTTTGTATTTCTGTGGAATTGGTGGTGATATCCCCTTTATCGTTTTTTTATTGCATCTATTTGATTATTCTCTCTTTTCTTTTTTATTAATCTGGCTAACAGTCTGTCTATTTTGTTGATCTTTTTAAAAAACCAGCTCCTGGATTTATGGATTTTTTGAAGGGTTTTTTTATGTCTCCATCTCCTTCCGTTCTGCTCTGATCTTAGTTATTTCTTGTCTTCTGCTAGCTTTTGAGTTTTTTTGATCTTGCTCCTCTAGCTCTTTCAATTTTGATGATAGGGTGTCGATTTTAGATCTTTCCTTGCTTCTCATGTGGGCATTTATTGCTATAAATTTCCCTGTAGACACTGCTTTAAATGTGTCCCAGAGATTCTGGTACATTGTATCTTCAGTCTTGTTGGGTTTGAAGAACATCTTTATTTCTGCCTTCATTTCATTGTTTATCCAGTCAACATTCAAGAGCCAGTTGTTCAGTTTCCATGAAGCTGTGTGATTCTGGGTTAGTTTTTGAATTCTGAGTTCTAATTTGATTGCACTGTAGTCTGAGAGACTGTTTGTTATGATTTCAATTCTTTTGCATTTGCTAAGGAGTGATTTACTTCCAATTATGTGGCCAGTTTTAGAGTAAGTGTGATGTGGTGCTGAGAGGAATGTATATCTGTGGATTTGGGGTAGAGAGTTCTGTATATGTCTATTAGGTTTGCTTGGTCCAGGTCTGAGTTCAAATCCTGGATATCCTTGTTCATTTTCTGTCTTGTTGATCTGTCTAATATTGACAGTAGAGTGTTAAAGTCTCTCACTATTATTGTGTGGGACTCTAAGTCTCTTTGTAGGTCATTAAGAACTTGCCTTATGTATCTGGGTGCTCCTGTATTGGGTGCGTATGTATTTAGGATCATTAGCTCTTCTTGTTGCATTGATCCTTTTACCATTATGTAATGTCCTTCTTTGTCTCTTTTGATCTTTGTTGGTTTAAAGTCTATTTTATCAGAGATTAGGATTACAACTCCTGCTTTTATTGCTCTCCATTTGCTTGATAAATCTTCCTCCATTCCTTTATTTTGAGCCTATCTGTGTCCTTCCATGTGAGATGGGTTTCCTGGATACATCACATTGATGGTTTTTTACTTTTTATCCAATTTGCCAGTCTGTGTCTTTTGATTGGGGCATTTAGCCCATTTACATTTAAGGTTAATATTGTTATGTGTGAATTTGACCCTGCCGTTTTGATGCTAGCTGGTTGTTTTGCCCATTAGTTGACACAGTTTCTTCATTGTGTCAATGCTTTTTACCATTTGGTACATTTTGGAGTGGCTGGTACTAGTTGTTCCTTTCTATGTTTAGTGCTTCTTTCAGGAGCTCTTGTAAGGCAGGCCTCGTGGTGATGAAATCTCTCGGCAATTGCTTGTTCGTAAAGGATTTTATTTCTCCGTTGCTTATGAAGCTTAGTTTGGCTGGATATGAAATTCTAGGTTGAAAGTTCTTTTCTTTAAGGATGTTGAATATTGGCCCTCACTCTCTTCTGGCTTGTAGGGTTTCTGCTGAGAGATATGCTGTGAGTCAGATAGGCTTCTCTTTGTGGGTAACCCAACCTTTCTCTTTGGCTGCCCTTAGTATTTTTTCCTTCATTTCAACCCTGGTGAATCTAAGGATTATGTGCCTTGGGTTTGCTCTTCTTGAGTAATATATTTTCAGTATTCTCTGTATTTCCTGTACTTGAATATTGGCCTTGCTAGGTTGGGGAATTTCTCTTGTATATCCTGAAGAGTGTTTTCCAGCTCGGATTCATTCTCTCCATCAAATATGGGATTATGTGAAAAGATTTAATCTATGTTTGATACACCTATCAAATGCAGATTAGGTCTTCTCACATAATCCCATATTTCTTGGAGGCTTTGTTCATTTCTTTTCATTCTTTTTTTCTCTGATCTTGCCTTCTCATTTTATTTCATTGAGTTGATCTTCAATCTCTGAAATCCTTTCTTCTGCTTGTTCAGTTTGGCTATTGAAACTTGTGTATGCTTCATGAAGTTCTTGTGTTATGTTTTTCAGCTCCATTAAGTCATTTACATTCTTCTCTAAGCTGTTTATTCTTGTTAGCATTTCATCAAACCTTTTTTGAAGATTCTTAGTTTCTTTGCATTGGGTTAGAACATGTTCTTTTAGCTCAGAGAAGTTTGTTATTACCCACCTTCTGAAGCGTTTTTCTGTCAATTCATCAGACTCATTCTCCATCCAGCTTTGTTCCCTTGCTGGTGATGAGTTGTGATCTCTTGGAGGAGGAGAGGCGTTCTAGTTTTGGGTATTTTCATCCTTTTTGCTCTGGTTTCCTCCCATATTTGTGGATTTATCTATCTGTGGTCTTTGTAGTTGGTGACTTTCAGATGAGGTCTCTGAATGGACGTCCTTTTGGTTGATGATGAAGTTATTTCTTTCTGTTTTTTAGTTTTTCTTCTAACAGTCAGGCCCCTCTGCTGTAGGACTTCTGGAGGTCCACTCCAGACGCTGCTTGCCTGGGGATCACCAGTGGCGGCTGCAGAACAGTAAGGGTTGCTGCCAGTTTCTTCTGTTATCTTCATCCCAGAAGGATACCCGCTAGATGTCAGCCTGAGCTCTCCTTTATATCTTTGGATATACGGGGGTCAGGGAGCTGCTTGAGGAGATAGTCTCTCCCTTATAGGAGCTCAAGTGCTGAACTGTGACCTCTATTGTTCTGTTCAGAGCTGCTGGGCAGGTTTGTTTAAGTCTGCTGCAGTGGAACTCATAACCACCTTTTTTTCCCAGTTGCTCTGTCCTGGGGAGTTAGGACTTTATTTATAAGTTCCTGACGTGCTGCTGCTTTTTTTCAGAGCTGCCCTGCCCAGCGAGGAGGTAGCCTAGTCATAGTCTGCCAGCAGAGGCATTGCTGAGCTGCTGTGGGCTCTGCCCAGCTGCTGTGTGAAATTCCTTGCGGTTTTGTTTATAGAGGTGTAGTTAGAACTGCCTTGGTAATGGTGATCTGCCTCAGTAATGGTGGATTGCCTTGGTAATGGCGGACTGCCTCCGTAACATTGGACTGCCTTGGTGATGGCAGACTGCCTTGGTAATGGCAGATGCCCTTCCCCCAACAGAGCTGGACCATCCCAGGTCCAGCTGCACTTGCTGCAGAATTCTCAGTCCAGAGCATTTCAGATTGCTGGTCTTTGTGGGGGTGGAATCCACTAAGCCAGATCACCTGGCTCCCTGTTTCAACCCTCTTTTTCTTCAGTTGAATGGGTGGTTCTGTCTCCCAGGTATTCCAGGCACCAGTTGAAATGGCCACCCAGATTTCTGTGAGTTTTTGTGCGGCAACCCACTGCGCTGGCTAAAACAGCCATGCTGGAAACTCGTGGCACTTTTCAGCCCAAGAATCTTCTGGTCTGTGGGCAGTAATAACTCATTTGGAAATGCGGTGTTCACTCACCCTCTACATTGTCTCTCTGGGAGCTGTACTCCAGTGCTGTTCCTATTCAGCCATCTTGGATCCGCCTATGACCTAGCTTACATAGTTCTAACAATATATCTGCTGTCATTCTTGTTCCTCCAACTTTTCTTGTTTGTTTTTAAGATTTTATTACGGGGCCGGGCGCGGTGGCTCAAGCCTGTAATCCCAGCACTTTGGGAGGCCAAGGCGGGTGGATCACGAGGTCAAGAGATCGAGACCATCCTGGTCAACATGGTGAAACCTCGTCTCTACTAAAAATACAAAAAATTAGCTGGGCATGGTGGCGCGTGCCTGTAATCCCAGCTACTCAGGAGGCTGAGGCAGGAGAATTGCCTGAACCCAGGAGGCGGAGGTTGCGGTGAGCCAAGATCGCGCCATTGCACTCCAGCCTGGGTAACAAGAGCGAAACTCTGTCTCAAAAAAAAAAAGATTTTATTACTAGATTATAGCAATTTAATTAAAATGGGGCTGTGATTTTCCTTATGTTTATTCTTAGGACTCATTGCTCTTCTTAGACCTGTGGTTTTATGGTTTCTAACAAATTTGGGAAAATGTCAGCCATCATTACTTAAAGTATTTTTTGCTCACAGCTCCCTCCTATTCTTTTTGTGACTCCAATGACATGTAAAGCTAAGATTGTCTCACAGGTCACTGAGGCCCTGTTCATTTTCTCCCCATAACTTTTTCTGACTGTTCTTCTTGTCTGTCAAAACTCAGCCTAAATATCATAGCCTTTATTAAACCATTGTCCAGATACTCTATCAGATTAAATGACTACCTCACCTTTGTACCCCATTATATCCCATACATCTTATCACACAACCTGTACCATTTGAGTGCACTTTTTGCCTCTCTCCCTAAACCAAATTGTGAGCCACTTTAAGGCAGAACAGTGCGTGGCACACAATAAATTCTCATTAAAGCAGAAGTTCTGAAATGCTAAGTGCCTCATAAAATTTGCTTATTTTGCTTATCTCAAAGAGGCAAAATATAATTGACTTGATTGCCATGCTTTTCTCAAAGTATGTAAATACATTGGCAAGCGAACTGATTTGAGTATCTGAAAGTTACTTTGGCAATAGCTGTATTTTTGGACCTCATGTTCAGCATAGAAAGGGAATAAATTTAAAGTCAAATTCTCATATAGAAGCATATATTTATGTTTGTATAAAATTATTATACTTTCACACTGTGAACACTTCATCAAAAACAGTAAAACAACAACAGCAACAAAACTGGCATTGAAACTCTGTTTTAAAGCAGTTTACCTGGCCTGCAAATTTACTACTAGGATCAGCTGAAATAAGGACAACATCTTTATCCTTTTGAAATCCATCGTGAGACCAGTATGCCAGGTCAAAAGTAAATGTCTTCACATGCTCTGGATTCTTAGGGTCCTGTATGGTGATGGTCCTGGAATGCATGGAAATCACACATTTGCTCCCAGAATTCTTCTCTCTCTACAGTCAAATTACAAATTCAGAGTCAATCATTCTAGTTTCTCTTTGTCATCCAAGTTCATTGTTTCGCTGGTCTTTATACCTAGTAAGAAATTAAGTTCTCTGATTGTGTTACTTTTAGCAGCTGTAAGAACAAGTAGTTGTTCCTATACTCCCTCAAAATTCTTGAAAGGCTTGTCTCTAGTCATATTAACTTTCTGAGAAGAGCTGGCTCCCTAACACCCAACTATACTAATAACAATAACGATATTAGTGGAGAGACTGACTTCTGGCTTAATTGGTGAATTCCTCAGTAAAACAATATCCATTAAAAAATCAAAATTTAAAAACCACCTTTTAAAACCTCTAGAAATGGTCCTAAAGACAAACAGACAGTGAAGAAACATCTATTTATGGCCGGGTGCGGTAGTTCACACCTGTAATCCCAGCACTTTGGGAGGCGAGAAGGGTGGATCACTTGAGGTCAGGAGTTTGAGACCAGTCTGACAAACATGGTGAAACCCCATCTCTACTAAAAATACAAAAATTAGCTGGGTGTGGTGGTGCGCCTCTAATCCCAGGTACTCAGGAGGCTATGGCATAAGAATCACTTGGACTTGGGAAGTGAAGGCTATAGTGAGCTGAGATCGTACCTCTGCACTCCAGCCTGGCTGGCAGAGTAAGACTCTGTCTCAAAAGAAAAGAAAAGAAAAAACAAAAGAAAAGAAGAGAAAAGAGAGAAAGAACCATGTATTCAAAAAAATATACTAAATTTGGTAAGAAATGAGTTTGTGGTATTTGAAGCAAGATCATTCCTTTTCTTCCCCCCTGCCAGCTCAGCAGGGTGGAGACTCCACTCCGGACTGCTAGAGCCACTAACACTGGGCTCCCTCTCTGCTCCAGATCCCAGCTGGGTAACTTTCTTCCCAGGAAGATCAAGATAATAGCATTTCTAATTCTGCCTCTGTCTACCTGTTACTGATGAACTGGAGAAAGTGTGTGCACTCCAATGTGCAGGGATGAATTGGAGAAAGTTTGTGCACACTAATGTGCAGGGACAATTTGGAGAAAGTGCATGCACTGTAATGTGCAGGGATGAACTGGAGAAAGCGTGTGCACTCGAATATGCAGGGATGAACTGGAGAAAGTGTGTGCACTCTAATGTGCAGGGATGAACTGGAGAAAGTGTGTGCACTCTAATGTGCAGGGATGTACTGGAGAAAGTGTGTGCACTCTAATGTGCAGGGATGAACTGGAGAAAGTGTGTGCACTCTAATGTTCAGGGATGAAGTGGGGAAAGTGTGGGCACTCTAATGTGCAGGGATGAAGTGGAGAAAGTGTGTGCACTCTAATGTTCAGAGAAAAAGTGTAGAAAGTATATGCACTCTAATGTTCAGGGACAAACTGGAGAAAGTGTGTGCACTCTAATGTTCAGGCATGAAGTGGAGAAAGTGTGTGCACTCTAATGTACAGGGATGAAGTCAAGAAAGCGTATGCACTCTAATATGCAGGGATCAACAAGAGAAAGCGTGTGCACTCTGATATGCAGGGACAAATTGGAGAAAGTGCTTGCACTCTAATGTTCAGGGAAGAAGTGTAGAAAGTGTGTCCACTCTAATGTGCAGGAATGAACTGGAGGAAGTGTGTGCACTCTGATGTGCAGGGATGAACTGGAGAAAGTGTATGCACTCAAATATGCAGGGGTGAACTGGAGAAAGTATGTGCACCCTAATGTGCAGGGATGAACTGGAGAAAGTATGAACACTCTAATGTGCAGGGATGAACTGGAGAAAGTGTGTGCACTCGAATATGCAGGGGTGAACTGGAGAAAGTATGTGCACCCTAATGTGCAGGGATGAACTGGAGAAAGTGTGTGCACTCGAATATGCGGGGGTGAACTGGAGAAAGTGTGTGCACCCTAATGTGCAGGGATGAACTGGAGAAAGTATGTGCACTCTAATGCGCAGGTACCAATTGGAGAAGGTGTTTGAACTCTAATGTTCAGGGACAAACTGGAGAATGTGTGGCACTCTAATGTTCAGCAACGAACTGGAGAAAGTGTGTGCACTCTAATGTGCAGGGATGAACTGAAGAAAGCGTGTGCACTCTAATGTTCAGGGCTGAACTGGAGAATGTGTGTGCACTCTAACGTGCAGGGATGAACTGGAGAAAGCATGTGCACTCTATCATGCAGGAATGAACTGGAGAAAGCGTGTGCACTCTAATGTGCAGGGATGAACTGCAGAAAGTGTGTGCACCCTAATGTGCAGGGTTGAACTGGAGAAAGTGTGTGCACTCTAATGTGCAGGGATGAAGTGGAGATAGTGTGTGCACTCTAATGTTCAGGGGTGAAGTGGAGAAAGCATGTGCACTCTAATGTGTAGGGATGAACTGGAGAAAGTGTGTGCACTCTAATGTTCAGGGGTGAAGTGGAGAAAGCGTGTGCACTCTAATGTGCAGGGATGAAGTGAAGAAAGTGTGTGCACTCTAATGTGCAGGGACGAACTAGAGAAAGTTCATGCACTCTAATGTGCAGGGATGAAGTGGAGATAGTGTGTGCACTCTAATGTGCAGGGATGAACTAGAGAAAGTGTGTGCACTCTAATTTTCAGGGTTCAGTGGAGAAAGTGTGTGTACTCTGATGTTCAGGGATGAACAGGAGAAAGCGTGTGTACTCTAATGAGCAGGGATGAACTGGAGAAAGTGTGTGCACTCTAATGTGCAGGGATGAACTGGAGAAAGTGTGTGCACTCTGATGTGCAGGGATGAACAGGAGAATGTGTGTGCACTCTAATTTTCAGGGACGAACTGGAGAAAGTGTGTACACTCTAATATTCAGGGATGAACTAGAGAAAGTGTGTGCAGTGTAATGTGCAGGGATGAGCTGGGAATGTGTGTGCACTCTAATGTGCAGGGATGAACTCGAGAAAGTGTGCAATCTAATGTGCAGGGAAGAATTGAAGAAAATGTGTGCACTCTAATGTGCAGGGAAGAATTGGAGAGAGTGTATACACTCTAATATGCAGGGATGAACTGGAGAAAGTGTGCACTCTAATATTCAGGGATGAAGTTGAGAAAGCGTGTGCACTCTAATATTCAGGAATGAAGTGGAGAAAGTGTGTGCACTCTAATGTGCAGGGATTAATTGGAGAAAGTGTATGCAGTCTAATGTGCAGGGATGAACTGGAGAAAGTGTGTGCAGTCTAATGTTCAGGTTTGAAGTGGAGAAAGTGTGTGCACTCTAATGTGCAGGGACGAGCTGGAGAAAGTGTATGCACTCTGATGTGCAGGGATGAACTGGAGAAAGTGTGTGCACTCGAATGTTCAGGGTTGAACTGGAGAAAGTGTGTGTACACTAATGTGCAGGGATGAACTGGAGAAAGTGTGTGCACTCGAATGTTCAGGGTTGAACTGGAGAAAGTGTGTGCACTCTAATGTGCAGGGATGAACTGGAGAAAGTGTGTGCACTCTAATGTGCAGGGATGAACTGGAGAAAGTGTGTGCACACTAATGTGCAGGGATGAACTGGAGAAAGTGTGTGTACACTAATGTGCAGGGATGAACTGGAGAAAGTGTGTGCACACTAATGTGCAGGGATGAACTGGAGAAAGTGCGCGCACTCTAATGTTCAGGGATGAAGTGGGGAAAAGACAGTTTGAAGGTCAAAAATATCAAACACTTGTCTGTGAAAGTATTCCTTTAAAGGAAGCAGAATTTGATTGGATTCATTTGCAAAACACCTTATGCCCCAGGACATTGTCGAAAACAATAATCAGACAGCAAATAGTGAAGATTAACAGGTGGGCATGGTCAAGTACGGAGAGGAAGGGAGCCGGACCACAACCATTGTTCTCCCAGGGTGACTGGGGCAGACCCAGAACTCTGCTTTTCTAAGGAACAATGGTGGGATTGGGGGACATAACAGACTTCCCTAAAATAATCCAGCCAGTCACTAAAAAACCGGGAAATAAAAGTAGCAAGGCACAGAGGACAGGCAGAGCTAATAGCCAGAGTTGCTACAATATATCTACAACGTCCAATTTCTATGGAAAAATTAGGAGGCACACGAAGTAACTGGAAAGTATGATGCATACACTGGGGAGAAAAGAATAACAGAAACAGAGGGACCAGATGCAGGAATTATCAGGAAATCACTTTTGAAGTAGTCATTATACACATATTCACAGAATGAAAGAAAATGATGATTAAAGAAAGGGTTATAAGGAATGCTTCCAACAAGTTAACACCAGCAAATTAGATAACTTAGATGAACAAATTCCTGCAAAGGCAGAAGTGACAGAAATCGACTCAAGAAGAAAAAAGAATCTAAATCGATCTAGAACAAAGGAAGACCTAGAAGTAGAATTGCAAAGAACAGCTACCCACAGTGAAAAGTCCAGTCTGAGGTGGCTTAACTACCAAATTCTATTAAACGTTTCACAAACCTTCATACCAATTCTTCACAAGCTGTTCAGGAGATAGAAGAGTGAATACTACCCAACTCACTTTATGAAATCAGTATCACTCTGATATTGAATCCAGACAAAGACATCATTAGAAAACAAAACTATGAACCATTATCTCTTATGAATATGAATGCAAAAATCCTCAACAAAATACTGTGAAACTAAATCCAGCAGCATATACAAAGAATTGTACACCATGACCAAATGGAATTTATCCTAGGGCTTCAAGATTGATTCAACATGGAAATTATTGTATTAATCATATTTTTGATGGTTTGACCTCCTGCAGCTCACCAAGCCTGTCAGATTCCTAGAGATAGCAAGCAACTTGCCTTTCATGTGCAAATCAACCAATCCAAAGCCCATATCCCCAGCTACCTCCTTCATCTAACTGTCGTCTAACTTCTATACACCAAGCCAGTACTTTCCCTCCTCTAAATCACCCCCAAGGCCAGGTACTGGACAAATAAAGACCACCCTTACAGGTCAGAGCCCACCAAAATAATTTATATTATCCAATCCTAAACTTGCTCAAATTTGCGTCCTCTGCCGTGC